CTTACACATTACCGGCCCTCCGGCAATCTACGTTTTCCAACCCAGCTCGGCATTGCAGCCTCCCTTCGCTCAGATATCGGTCAGCCTTGAAGCAGCTATATGTACTTTCGCGTGAGACGTGAGAATTGAAAATATTTCTTCATCATTCGTCATGTTTTATGGGAATGTGTACGGGGAAGTTTATGATATAAAAACGAGACAGAAAACGACAGAACTAATCCTTTGTGAAATTTTCATCACTATAGTACTTCCCAAGTTATAAATGGGCCAATGATTAGCAGACAGACAGAATATCATAGGTATACAATTTCCAAATAATTCGCGATTACGAGATATGTCTTTTAAGTTTTGCATATGGAAATAAACCAACACGGTCGGTAGTTTTAAATGACTTTATTGTTTTTAGAAGTATTCTCCACGAAGATTAATACACATCTGCATGCGCTCGAACCAATTTTCGAAGCACATATTTCACTCGTTTGCTGGCAGATCTAAAACGGCATTTTTGAATGTCAACTGCTTCTTCTGGTGACTGTAACCTTTGACCACGCAGTCTGTTTTTCATTTTCGGGAAAGTAAAGAAATCGTTAGGACTTATATCGGGACTATATGGAGGATGGTCCAATAATTTCACGTTTTCTTCCGTTAAATACTGCCTTGTCTTTTGGGCTGTGTGCGAGCTTGCATTGTCTTGGTGGAGGATGATTCTTCTTCGGGGTTGGTTTTTCGAAGCTCGATGATGACTTTTGGCAAACAAATGGTGGTATACCAATCCGCAGTAACAGTTCTTTGCTCATTAAGAGGAATTGTTGCAATATGACCCGCTTTTTACACAAATGTCGCGAGCATCTTTTTCGAAACACTTCGAGAACGGATGACTTTTGTTGGCTTTTCTTCACCTTGGACCACCCAAACAGCCGACTGTCGTTTATTTTCTAGTTCATAACAGTAAATCCACGATTGATCGCCACCAGCAATGCTGTACACATTTTTTGAGTTTCCGGAATTGAAACGGTCAAGCGTTTTTTGACACCAATTAAGCCTGGCTGCTTTCTGCTCTTCAGTCAACAGGTGGGCTATCCAACGAGAAACTAATTTTCTTACTCCAAATTCTTCATGTAAAATTTTTTGAATTGAGGTCTCTGAGATCTTCAAGGACGCCTCAATCTCGCGATATGTCACCTGTCTATCATCAATGATGAGTTTGCGCACAGCATCGACGTTTTCCTGAGTGACTGCCGTTTTTTGTGCACCCACCTTGGGATCGTCGCTAAGACTCACCCGTCCACGTTTGAATTAGCCATACCAATGGCAAATTGTCGACTGACGTGGCTCTTGGTTGCCGAAAACAGACAGTAACTCAGCAAGGCATTCTTGTTGCAATAATTGTCTCTGAAAGTTGTACTAAATTATGACGCTAAAATCTTCTCGGTTTCATTTTTCTAATGACATGTTGACACTAAAATTCACTGTAGTGAGAACACTACACGTATTGTTGTGAAACTTTGAATTTAAGTTTACTAAAGTGTGAGGTTAAGATTCAGTACTGACGTTCGATCCGCGCGGCCTACTATGTTTCTATATGCAAAACTTAAAAGACATCCCTCGTACAATTCCTGCCCTCCAGTGGCGTGAGAAGTAAAACGCGCCAATTATTTATTATTATTCAGCAACGATAAACTGATGTAGTTAATAAAACAATTTTCTTTTGGAGCAACTCCAGTTTTGAATACAGTAGACCATTTTTTTTTCCGAAAGCCAATGCGGTATTTATTGTCTTTTTTTAGGTTTGTATGTTAATATTAGTATTTTTACGACGTATATCTTTCACTTTTCTGTATAGACTGATACAAAAACAAATCTACTTCAATGACCATGAGAAAGGGACGTAGAAGATTATGTTTCCTGGTTTCTCAGAGCAGTATGTAAACATTCCTAAATGGAAAAACTCACCGCCTTTTCAAATACTATTTTCTCTGATTTTGTTACCTAAATTACTGTTATTTACGAAACGAAAATATGATTACACACTAAATTTACAAGTTTCCTAACAGCTTGTTTGCCGAATGAATATACACTAGGACATACTAGTATTTTTTCCTAAATAACACTTAAGCCATGCGAGTGAGATACGTAATTGTGCGAGAATTAACCATCTCCTGTTTCTTATGGTTTCTACTAGAATAATTGAAGAATGTTATAACATGAGACCTATCCTCACTTAAAGTGATTAATCCTGTAAATTATTATATTTAGAAATCGTCTTCAGGCAAGATGGTTTACATGGTAATGGTTTACATTATAATAATAATGTAATAACTTTGGCCAAAAGCATTTTCGAGTTTTAAAAAGCGATCTCAATCTTATAGTTCATGTAAAGAAATTTAGATTCGTAAAAGTATTATTTTTTATTGAAAATACGAAGATATAAACCTACTGTATATTTTTGTTGGTTTGTAATTGTATTCAGCTATCTCTACACCAAATCGAATAGCAGTCAAACCTCACCTTTACAATGCTTTCGATTCCAGTTTCAACCCTGCTCTGCAAAAAATTACTAAAAGTGTTGAGATTTTAGCTTTAACTTTAACCAGTGATTCAGATCATCATTAGTAATGTACTGTCTCGAAGGCAACTGACAGAATAATAAATTACCTTTCGCGAAAAGCACATAATCATCCCTAAACCTCAACATTTTCGTTATCTGCGAAACCAAATCCCAAACTTCCCAAGTTACAAATCCTTCCAACCTCAGATCATCACTCCACAACCATATGATAAGAATCTCTTCAAGAACGCCGATGTTGGCAAACACTAATGGTTCTATGTAGGTAGACAGATGCGCCTATTTTTTAACAAGCGCTTCTTGGCATTGAGAAGAACACGAATAAAGAAGATATGTTCACAACTGCACTGCTACCCAGATGACTTAATTCTAGGCGCCAAATAAATCTAACCTGCCGTCAAAAGATAAAGCAGCAGCTACCTCATATCGCATCCATCAGTCGGTATATATCGGTGTCTCCTCCATAAAAGGGGAATATAAAATGTTTTTAGAACTTACTGGAATTTCGATAACTGCAGCGTTTCTTTTGTTCTTTACACATTGTAAAGGTGCGAAACAGAATGGTATCGTTGTATCCTTACAGGTAGTACATGAGATTATGGATAGTTTCAGAACAAATAAAGGACAGATCAATTTGCTACACTGGACACTGTCAGCAAGGAAAACATATCGATGATGATATGGGTGCTAAATCCACCAACACACATGGCAACGCATCTTCAAAAATCAAGAAACTCTAATTTCCATGAGCGGGGCTAAAAATCCTCTCATTTTTTGATGAAAATATTATTTTGTTTGGATTAGTTTATTATATCTAATATTACGTATTGACTTGACTGGTTGAAAAACAAAGCATCCTCCTTGTTTACTGAACCTCAGAGCCCACCGTTTTGAATGACAACCTTGGGCTGCTAAAATCCGTTTTCAACAAAGCCAGATCAACACGTAATATTAAATATAATAAACTAATCCAAACAAAATAATCTTTTCATCAAAAAATGGGGGATTCTTAAGCCCTCTCACGAAAATTTAAGTTTCTCGAACGTTCACGATGCGATGCCATATACGAAGCAGTTGACTGCCCAATACTCCTAGGATGTAGAATTCAATTCACGGAAATATAAGGAATATTTTATTTACAGGTATAGAAGGCTACCAAAGAATTAGTGCCAATAAAGATTCGAGAATGAAAGCAGCCCGCTGATTGGCAGTTTGCATTTGATGCTGTCACAGTGTGGCTACTTCTATAAACGAATCTTTACTCAACGATAACGTTCGAGATGAGCAGAAATCTGTATTCGTGACGTCACCTTAATAGCTATATTTTTAGTTGCTCTACCTTCTTATAGATGGCGCCACCATGGCTTCGTCTTTACTAGGATTCTTTGAGTAAACATAGTATTTTAAGAGTTTTATGTTACAGAATTAGCTTAAAATCGTTTAAGTATACGGATGAATATTTTTTTTGGCTACTCTCCAATAGATGGCGCTGCATATCGGTAGCCACCACAAAGTCCACCATTTTGAATGACTACCTTGGGCGACTGAAATCCGTTCAGTAAGCCCCAATGCATGTCAGGAGGAGGATGCTTTGTTTTTCAACAAAGCCAAATCAATACGTAATTTAGGTATAATAAACAATACAAACAAAATAGTAATCTTTTAATCAAAAAATGGGGGATTTTTAAACCCCCTCACGGAAATTTAAGTTTCTTGATCTTTGAGGATGCGTTGCCAAAAACCCATCCCGAACCCCGGCCAACCACCCCTTAAGGTTATCTTTGACTAGTTAAATTTTGTGTGACCTGTGATAACACTTTACACAGGTCCTCCATCTATGAGATGATAGCTCAACTGAACGAATTTTTTTTTGGTCTATTTGAAAATGCACACAATTAGCTTGAAATGATTTAAGAAAGCTATACAGATGAATATATTTTTTAGTCAACTACTCTCCGATAGATGGCGCTGCTTATCGGTAGCCACCACAAAGTCCATCGTTTTGAATGACTACCTTGGACTGCCGAGGTCCGTTCTAGAAGGGTTTATCTCTGGTCCGTTCAGTAAGCCCCAATGCACGCAAGGAGGAGGACGTTTTGTGTTTCAACAAAGCCAAATCAATACGTAATATTAGATATAATAAACTAATGGAAACAAAATAATCTTTTAATAAAAAAATGGGCGACTTTGAAACCCCTCACGGAAATTCAAGTTTCTTGATCTTTTAGGACGCGTTGCCACGCTTCCAACACCTGCTTCAGGTAGTTCATTGAAATTTCTGAGGCGTATGTGGTCAAGTGGCTTGCAGCGCCATCTATTGGAGAGTGGCTGAAAAAATCGCTCACATTAATTCTGTTGAATAAAATGAAATTACAAAAAAAATACAAAAAATAGCATAACGATTTGAAGAATATCTTTTATTAAGGAAGTGTTCTTGAAGTTTCTCTTCGCAGACGTCTTTGTTGGACAAACATTGTTCATAAAAACAGCTTCCTGTGACAACAACAAAAGAAAGCTGCCACTAGGGAGCTGCCCCCATTAACGAATTTTCTGTTTCCGTCCTTGAAATCCACAGTGAAGTCCTGAAACGTATAAATTTGAAAATTAATGTAATAATAAATAAATAACTAAGCCAAGCCATATTAGGATCATTTTAAGCTTAAACCAGTATCCTCCTATGTCAATTTACTAGAGGTGTTGAAAAAGTGACTACTCGTTACTCGAGTACTCGTTAGAATAGAAACAGAAAATAGAAATACAACTTTTTTGTCCTTTGAATGTTTTCGTATCTTGCTTAGTTTTCAAGAGAAACCCTTGATTATTATTTACTATTCCTTAGTTTAGTAAGATTCATTAGTTTAGATGTTAATGTAATGGAATTTAGAATTTATTTGTTGTTATATAATTGCTAACAAATATTATAAAAAAAAGTATTTCCAAAAGAAAATTTTCCCCATATTCCTTGTGTGGTCCATGGATATGCAAATAAATCGACTTTTTTTTCTCGAAAACTAAGCAAGATACGAAAATAATACAAGATACAAAAAAGTTGTATTTCTAGTTGTTCAATCTAAAGAACGTATATATTTTTTGTCACAAATATTCGTCCAGATAATAAATTTGATCAAGATAAGGCGAAATTAGCTCCTTAATGTTATAAATACCACTGCCGAATTACAGCAAAATTAAGTAAAGGATATTTAAGAAACGTAAAAAAATTATTTTTTTTTAGTTTCAAGAACGAAGAATTTGCGAACCTATGTTTATATGAACCTTTTGTCTTAAAATGACTCAAAGAATCGACTGTTAAATTTATGACACATACTTAATTAACACCCTGTATGTCACGGAATGGTAGAGTTAAAATTCTATGTTTCTCAAACACTGGCCTCTAAGTTTCATATTGGATTATCGTTTTCTGTGATTAAAATTCTTTTTGCTGATGGCAAATTTCCCCATATCATAACGTGATATGATATATGCGGATGTATATCCATCGTATGATTGTAATCTAGATATTCAGAAGTTGCGAGGCGTTGAAACAACTTCTTAATTGTAATAATGCATAGTAACTTCTGCTCTGTATTTGCTCAGTTCATGTTCGTCCTCCAACTCATGTCATTGTCAACATGGAGTCCCAAAAATTTGGTAGTGTTTGTGACAGACCAATAAAGTCAGAATCTACTTTAACAAAAATACTACTGTAATTTCTCCTGTTATATCCTGACCCAGCACAAAATTGTATCACTGTTGTCTTGCTGGCATTCACAATTAAGGCGTTGTTTCTACACCAAGTCAAAAATTCAGCAGCATATACAACCATCTTGTGATTTAGTTCCTCTATAGATTCAGCGTCTATAGTAGTGGTTGTATCACCTGCACAGAGCACTAAACAGTTCTAGGTGATAATATGGTGAATCGTTGACAAATAATATAAATATAAGCGGTCCCAAAATTGAGCCGTGGGGGACGCTTAGACAAATATTGTTCTAGTTGGAACTAATGATTTTGAATTTTGTTACATAGTTGGACATTCGGTTGTAGATGGACTTCTCCATCACTTTACAAATAACGGTCGGAACTATTATTGGTCTATAACTAACTTTATAACTTTTTAGACGAATTACTTCAACTACGTTGTTGGTCTTTGGACTAAAACTCAATCACATTTTGTCACAGTTTTGGCATTGTCTTTTCAAAAACAATCCTAATGGTAGTCGATGTACCTGATTAAAGTGAAGAGTATTATAGAGACATGATACATCCTTATCAATTATGAGGAAATGCCAGCCCGTTGTCTTTCCGCCGTAATAGGTACAGATATGCGTAAAAATGTTCCGTTGTATTACGGATTTGGCGAGGAATCCTCCCAAATGAAGCAGATTTGTCTCGCCATATTCTCCAATTTTTGACATATCTTTATCTATATTTCAAACGTTTTTGAAACAGTAATTTGACATATGACTGTTGAGTTGTCAAAACCAAAGTATATTTCAAGTTAGAAAATCCACTTAAAGCAGACGAATTCTCTTAGCTTATTTGTCTGTTCAAGTTCAGCTCAAATTTTAAGTGTCTCTAGTGCAACAAAAATATCGAAATTGAGGATCAGCTTGTCAGTAGACCTTAACCAGGCAGTACAACTGAACATAAGTGTAACATTGTTATGTAAGGGATGTTAAGAGAAATACGAGTAAGTCAAGCATTTGCTTTGCAACTGTTCAGCTGGTCCATCAACACATACATTAATTCTTGGTCTTTATATGGGGGACTTTGATCGGTCGTATCACCACACTCCTCAATGGTTTGGACTCATTGTGAATCGGCATAAAAATATAGTCTCTTGTTTTTACATAATTTGGCTCTCTAGGTTTTTCTTATACTCCAACTACCATGAAGGCCTAAAGACCCATGGGTATTCTGGGGCAATAGGGGGATACAGGGGAAAGGGGGAAGCGCCACACGGACTCTGGCAAGGGAACACGTGTGCATGCAACATGCACATATTCTGGCCCCGCCTACGAGATCCGCCGGGTGGTACCTCCGCGTTCGACAGTCAGAGACCGTCTACCACCTACGGACAACCACTACATCCATATCCAAGAGAAAAATTTCTCTTGGGACATGACTGGAACCCGTACAGCGAAGAGTCTACTACTGCGGCCTCCGCTGCTGCCTAAGGTATTGACAACGATGAGAAATCATAATAATGATCTATACATCTACCACCGCCATGCTTTTAATTCAGAGTTAACGAGAAATTCAGAACACCCGCAAAACCTTATTTATTTTCTATGATCTATGATCTGCCGACACTTACAGATAAAATCTTTAATCAGAATTTGCTTTACATACAAAGAGTTATACAATACGAATTATCGATTTGTCGGTGTAAGTATTTTTTGTTTGATTTAGTCCAAGTGGTATGCTTCACCGCTTTTAAACTACATTGTTCTATTCTACATTTTTTCCTATGAGAGGTACAACATATAGCTTCCGAGGCCGAAACACTGGCACTCGCATTTGGGAGTCATCAACAACATATTGGTCTTATCATGGTGTTTGGCAGGTCACAGTAAAACTGCAGTGAGTCGAGTGAACTCAAAGACATACGTTCTTTATTTTCGTCTCATCACCATCACATTTTCTCGTCAACGAACGAGTGTTTCACATGTCTGCTTGTTATTCTATTTACATGATGGTCTTCGATATAAGATCTTAGTAGTATCTGAAGATACAAGTACAATGCCGAAGGTTTGTAATAGAAGTATTTTCAGAAAGTGAGTGAAAACAACTATCCATCACGCCATATTCGTGTGTGTGTGCGTGCGCGCGTGTGCGTGTGCGTGGGCGTGTGCGTGTGCGTGTGTGTGTGTGTGTGTGTGTATGTGTGGGTGCGTGCGTGTGCCTAAAAGTGAGAAGCAGCTGCGTGACCAATCGGCACAAAAGTTAAGTCGACTTATAAACTATGATGTTACACACCACATGAGCCTGCCGTTAAACTGTTTATGAACAGTAATTCCGCAACGTTCGTCGGCAAAGATGACGCTAGACTCGACGAAGCTCTAACTTTCTGCCATTGTTGTTCCAGAATCAACCAATGAAAGGAGCCAGCAAATCACGTGGTTGTTGAGACAAATCAGCTGGTTTTGCCTTGTACTTTACGTTTTGTTAAACATGACATATGTCTTGCTTTGCCCGGCGTGGCTTCCTGCGAGATTGTTTGATATTGTGTGATGTGTAATCGTCATCTTTCGTGATTTCGACTATAGTTGATTCAAATAATAATAAGAATTGTTAGGAGACGTGTGTTACAAGTTTGGTCTTCAAATATGTGAAATAGGATTCAATTTTAGGTTAGGCTATGTATCACAAGATGTAACGTTAGCAAGTTTATAAATTAATTTTAACTGCCAGTTCCAGTGTTACCTTAACGGTACGCCGGTGTCATGGCAATGTTTAAGTTTATAAATCGGCGTTTAACCTACGCACATAGTTCATAGTAGCATATATAGTATAAAAGAACTATAGATGCAAACTTGTGATCCAATATTGCTTGATAGTAGCTTAAAAATGAAAGATTGTTAACAAAATACATTTCAAGATGCCAAGCAAGAAGGCTAAATAGGATTTACGTCCTTTCCGTCTCTGTAACCATAACAAAGCGTATACTACACCTATGTTGTTTCATGCTCTTTAGCAATCATCAGTACGGCATAGGTCAAGTCATTGGAGACAGACAACGAAGAGCAAACAAGCAAATATGGGCCTACAGAAGAACTCAGTGGCAGTGTGCCTAGGCTTATCAAGTTCTTAATTTTGCCAACCGACATGTCAGAAAATCTCTTTAATAGGTATTTGTAGCTACTGTAATTGTTGAAAAAATAACCGAATTTTGGAACTTCATTTTGTTCATATCCACCCTGTATATCAATCGAAATACATAATCCCACTTGCCGTGGTTGATTTAATAGCTTATGAGTCATAACGTGTAGTCTTTCGGTGGTAGACAAAACAAAAAGCTACCCGGAGTGTAAGACTCTGAAACGTGTCTCGAACGAAGAAAGAAAATGCCAACGAGTACTAAGAGTCTGTTCTCAGTCTCGATTATACCCCATAATAAAGCGATACCGCCGCTACAATGCCAAACATAATGTAGGTTGACCTTACTGCTTACACAGACGATATCTTAGTCGTTCCCAGTGGCGCATGCCTATCGAGAATACCGAATTATTGATGTCTGAATACCAGATATTTCAGATTAAATCTGCTTTGAAAGCACAATAAAAGTACCACAGACTACATAAAAGAGGCTCGTTAATAAATTGTTCATCGTTCCAAGTGCCTTATCAACGATGTTGACAGCAGCCATGAATGCAAGAAAATGACAAAAAAATCAGTGTCTATAAGCGCGATTTTCCGAAAATACCGAAATTCTGAAAAGAAATTATTTCTTGCCTGAGCGCGGGGCTCAGCTTGCTTGAAGTACTGTTATTCGCTTTGCCCTTGGATTCAGGCAAAGAAATGCTATATTCGAAGTAATGCAGCAGTCACTCCGGCTATTTATTCAACATTATAATGTAAC